TGCTGCGCGCCCCTCCGGTGGCACGGCCGGCGCGAACGGGATGAGCCCCGACACTGCGGGCCTCGCAGAGAGGGAACGTTAAAAGGGCTGGCGCGCTTGCCGCTCTCTACCTTTTGCGGGGTGTGTGTGTGTGGTTACAAGATCATTAAAAACCCCAATACCATCCAGTATCTTCTACTCAATTTGTAGATTTTAATTCTTTGGAGCGGTTTGGTTTTGTTTTTTTTTTTCAAAACAGAGATTTAAAGTTGTTGTTAAATTGAGTTTCACAACCTAACTTCCATTGTAGCAGTGTAGAAAACTATTTCAATACTACTTAGCACTTGGGAACCTAGTGCCTGTTGTACACCGGTCTGCGTTTCCTTTGGTCTTTTTACACCGTGTACAGGAATTAAATCTCACTTAAGATGCTGAAAGTAAGACTGCAGAACTTGAGCGCGTTGTACACTTCAAACAGGTATTGTAAATAGCCTCATCTGCCTTGCGGCTCCACACTGACGGGAAAACGGGCTGCGCGCTGTGGCTAAGGAGCTAAATCTCAGGCTGGAACAGCAATCTTGACTCTTTCCAAACTACTCCTTCTACAGCGACCCAGGAGGTCAGATACAGATTTGATGCATTTTGTTAACAGGCATTAACATGATAACTTCCCATCTAGAGAGGCAGGCAAACACAGAACAAGGGAAGGAGCATGCCTGCTTTGAAAAACAGTGTTTTGTACGGCAAAAGCCAGTGATGAAGCAGTGACCCAAGGCAGAAGAAAAGGAAGCGGGAAGTGAAGCAGCTCCTATAGACACGATTAGGAAAGCTCTCACCAAGTCCTGGTTCCATGTTGCGAATAGGCCAAACCCTGTGCTTTGAAAACAGAAAACATACTGAAGTGAAACATCTTAAACATTACTCCTCCCTCCAATCCAGTTCGACTTAACACCTGGGGTTTGTTGTTACAGTGCAGTTGCATTTAAGAACAAGACATCACACCCAGACAGTGTAACTGTTTTACCAGTAGCTTTCATCACAGTTTGAGGACAAACTCTCTTTTCATAGCAAACAACTTTTGAGGTTATTTGCAGTCAAGAAAAGCTACAAATGCATTTCTGCTGCAAAGATGGGGGGATAATAGATGTTTTGCCAGAAAATTGTATGAGCCACCAAGTGAAGACAGCCTGTACTTTTACTCCTGATGGTGCCCATCATTCCTGAAAAAAAGTTTCTTAGTGTAGAATAATCTTACGTCAGTACTAAAATATTTTAACCCGAATGATTTACAAATTAATTTACCAAAAGCCTACTTTACCAGCAACCAAGGTACTTTCAGTGGGCAAAGGGGAATACATGTTCTCACAGTCAAGTAACCAGAGAGAAGCCATATAGTTAGCACTCAGCTAATTTGCCCCTGCTTGTCTTGCCCACAGGAGCATAAGGAGACAGTAAGTACAAGTAGTGACAATATGGCTTCTTAAAAGCCTCCTTCACTCTGCTTCTGGGAGGTAAGTTTCAGAGGCATTTCTCATTAAAGGCAACTTTGTTGTTTGTTTATAATCAGGTTGTGTAAGGTATCTAATGAATTTTAAAGTATCGTGAAAGCCACATCTCCAGTTAAATCAGGCAGAGTATATGTGAAGGCTGACTACTAATTTGTAGACTAAGGAAGGCTTTACCAGCTAGAACATTGCAAAAGAGCACACTGCACCAACATCAGCTAGAGCTGCCGCGGCGATTACAACAGATCTTGCAGTACATGCGTGTCAGTACCTCCACTTCTGTTCTGCTTGTTAAACACAGAGCATTGTCCCCTCCCTCCCGTGCTTGTTAGCAATACAACTACTTTGTAAAGAGGAAACAAGTTTAAACCGAACTTAGCTAGCATGGACTGCGGTTTTGCCGAGAAGAACAGCCTCAATATAACCCCTGCCACTCCAGACTTCCCACTGTAGCAGAGCAAAGGCTTGTCTGAACATGCCACTTTTGACACAATAAGTGCCTAGTCCTGTTGGTTTCATCTCGGCAGTAGGCAGGGAAAAATGAAAAGCTTTAAGTTTAATGCAGTTCTACCAAGACTAAGTTTGTGGGCTGTCTTTGAAACATTATGAAGTTTTTTTTTTTTGTTGCAAATTTACTGGATTAAGTGATGTCATGTAAAAAGACAGAGTCAAAACCAAGCGTACATTTCTGGCCTTTATAGTAAAGTAGCATAGGATCAACAGTTCTAACTGTCCGACACCAGGACTTTCACCATCCCTTCCATAACAGTCTTTCCACTTTCTCTGACGTTACATGATACTGAAATGTGTGCAATAGAACCCTTCAGTCGTTTAACTTCCGCTGCAGCTATGACTTCTTCACCAGTATACAAAGGAGCTGGAAATCGAATCTCCTGAGAAAGAAATACACATCCTTGACCAGGCATTTTAGTACCTAGAACTGCAGAAATAAGCCCATTAATCAAAACCCCATGTACAATAGTTCTCCCAAACCTAGACTTCTTTGCAAAATCTTCATTTAAATGCAAAGGATTGGTGTCACCTGTTAAATCAGAAAACATAACAACATCATTCTGTGTAAAAGCTTTGGTAAGTTCGGCTTTGTCTCCAACTTTTATATGTAAACTCTGAAGTACGGGATGTCCAAGCAGTGAGTTGATAAACGTTAGCTTTGTTGAGGCTCTTTGTCCGAAATCTCCTCCAGAAATTCCACGCCTGAAGGGCTGCAACATCTCAAGCAACTTCTGCTTCATACAACCAAACCAACAACTGCATTCAGTCCAAGACTAATTCTCTACTGTTCCCAGATAACGCAAGAAGAAATGGAGATGTCTAGTTTGGGGGGAAACAAAAACAAAACAAGAAACAAACTAAAGCATTAAAAAAAAAAAAAACCAAACCCACACAACAAAACACCGTCAAATGCACTCGAAGTTGAAAATACTTAAATTTCCCTTTCATATAAAAGATTAAAAACTTAGAGCTATGCTCGAGCAGATTTTTGTTTAGCCATTGCTTTGAAGACCAAGAATTCTTGGAACACATTTTATTAAGCAGCATCCTCAGGAAAAAATAAGCTCTGGAAGTGCACGTTCATGCATTTTTAAACGAGGTCAGTTGACAGCAACTATTAGAAAGGGAAGAAATGGGGTAGCACGAATGAAAGATTGGACCAAAATGTGGGCCGAGAACAAAAATTCCCAGAAATTATTTTCTTGCAGATGTATTAATGAGATCAGGACTTCTCACTAGAATGAAACCATAAAGTAATGAGACGGTCACTACTGTCACATTTTACAAGATTGGAATTGCTTAAATGCAGGCCTCCACACCTGCATTGAAAAGCATTTCAGTCCCAAACACAGACGTTTTTGCATCTAGGCCATCCTTCCATGAAGAAGCAGCACGCTCAGCTAGCCAGACAACCTTACAGCAAGAACTGCTGACATTTGGGGGATGCCATCCAGCCCTCTCAGGGCTTTACCTGCAGCACTCGAAAGGCACACCTCCTGTTCTGGTAGAAGCCCAGCAAGGTCAGAGCACTCCACAGCTTGACAAGGCCACTTAGTAAAAAGAAAACAAAATGTATTAATAAGATTTGTTTCTTTCAGTTTTCCTGCAGTATAAACATCTTAAAAGAAAAACCAACCAAAAAAAACCCCAAACCACCCACACCCAAAAAATGTTACATAAAGAGTAACAAAACCTCAACTGAGTTTAACAGCAGGCAATTTCCTCAACGAGTTCTAGTGGCAACACTATGGCCTGAAGGGTTACTGCAAGGACTGCAGTCTGTTGTCCTTGACACAGAGAGATACGTACTGTAACTTTATCAAGTTCACTTTACTGGCCTTGTTCTTGTTCTCTCTGTGCATTTAAGCTCCTTCTTCCCCTAAATCACCTGCAGCTGTTTTCACCATTTAAAGCTGGCAACCATTCTCATCTCTACTATAGAAAGAGATTTAAAGCCACATATTTCAATGGTGTTTAGTTCCTGTCAGACCATTCTGTTTTAAAGCATGAATAATGTACTGATGCATGTAGGTTACCAAATCTTAGTGATTTTTTACTTATTTTCTGCACGCTCTATGCGGACATCTGCAAGTTAGGCTTAATTCTTTAAAGACCATTCTTAGCTTGAGTTGTTTTCTTATGAAAAATATTTTCACGGCAGTATCTGAAGCGTGTACCTACTGTACCTTACCTGCTAACAACTCGTAATATGGCAGACAGGGTTTTTTCCTCATATGTTAAGACATCAACAGGCAAAGCTGCTCCAACCTATGAAAAAATACATTATTTAGTAAGTACCATCCTATGCTCTTACAGTGGTTTATAAGCAAGTGATTTCACTCCAGCACATGACATCATTAAAGGTATTATAGTTATGCTCAAATCTCACATGAGTGTTTCGGCTACACCACCACTAGATTTTATACAGGACCCTTCCTCTCAGAGCACTTTAGATGGAAGCCGCTTTTAGTTGTGCATTACAGCTGGAGAAACTGGGACCCAGCAGTGATGTGACTCGCTTAAAGCCACCCAGCAATATCATAAACAGAGCAAGAATACTACCGTGGACTTCCCCATCCAAATGCTGTTCCCTTCCCATAGTTCTCCTTTTAAAACCTCACTACAGTGAAAGCATTACTACCCCGAATTCTAAAAGCCAGATACGCTGGAGTCCCTTGACAACAGATGCTAAGACAAAACATACAACCTGAGCTTCATGAGGAGCAAGGCACCACACGGCCTGGAGAGCAGGCCACGGGTGAACGGAGAGGCAAGC